TTTCACAGCCCTCTCCCTCTCTGTCTTTCCCACACCGAAGGACCAGTGCCACCTCCCCTCGCGCTGCAGCGGCTCCCCACCTCTCAGCAGCCTTGTTTCAGGTCTCTAGTTCCTGTAACTACTTAAAAGTCTCACATATCTGTATTTATGGGATTAGAGCATTACATAAACTGAGCTCTGAATTTTAAACAGGCTTTGCCCCTGCCTACTTCTGGAGACATTTCACTGCTTCAGCTGTTACTAGCACAAACAAGTTACACATGCACATTTTCTTTGATGTCCAAATTTAGGTTGCAGGAAAGGTGCCAGAAATTATGTCAGCAAAGAGAGAAGTTTTCTAGCAGCAGAAGTACAAGGGAAGCAGCAGTAGCACAAACTTCTCCACTCTACTAAATAAACTTTGAAAACTGAGAAACAGGCCTTCCCTCCTGAAATTTCTTCAGAGACGGGTGCGCTCGCACAGCCCCTCTGTAACATGGCATTTCTGAGACCGCAAATTGGGGGCAAGCTGGCACCTCCTGCATTCCTGGTCTCTGATGCTGACACCAGCTTCTGGATACCAACCTGAGCGCAGTCGGCCATTAAATCATAATTACAGACTTCCGAGCAGGATAGGACACTCATTTTCTGCCTCACCTTCAATTCCTTTGGCCCACCATTTCCCCCGGCAACTAAACTAGAACTCAACTCCCTCCCCTTCTACTTGCTCAGTCCCTGAGCTATAAATCACAAGCAAGACTGAGCAAATACGCGACTTGGAGGGACACAGCAAAGCATGAGCCTCAACTCTGCACGTAAAAGCAGCAGTTCAGGTCCTACGGCACCTCTTGAACAGACCTGGCAGCAGCGCTGAGCTGAGATACTCCAGGGAACGCACCTCCCAGTACGTGCTCGCGGCGGCTGCTGCTGAGCACACCAGATCGGCTCTGTTTGCCCATGCAATGGCTGTACCGGGGCTTACATCTTTGGAAAGCATTTTGGGATCAGCTGTCACATTAAGAAAACGTATTTAAAGATTTGTACATGTCTAAAAGGCGCCTATTTACAATAAATATTTGAGTTAATGAATTTCCAACCCATTTGCTTCAGTCTCTTATCTCTTCACTTTGGAAGAAAGGGCCCTTATCAAAACACACAAACTGGCTGAAGATATGTAGTTAAGTAAAATGCATTGTATTGACCTCAGGGCTTCAAATTATTAAAAGCAAAGAAACCTTTTCTAGGCAGAGAGGAAAGGCAGAACAATTAATTTGGACTACCCAGCTCAAATCAGTGCATAAGTCTCCACTCTTATCCTGCTGGAACATAAAACTGACTAATCTGTGCTCAGCACCTGGAGGGAAACACATTAAACCCTCAGAGAAAACATGAATTAAAATCCCAGTGAGAAAGAAATAAAAAAATCAGCATGTCTTCGTTGCCTTTTTTTTTCCATTCTTCTCCTCTGTATTTAAAGTATTTTCACAATTGCGGAATAAGAGTATCAAACAAGATAATGTTGATATATTGGCAGATTCAGAACAGATATAAGGTAATGGTTTGAAACATCTGACAAAATTCCTACAGCCATCTTTTAGGTCCACAAGACAAAGAAAAGTACCGTCAGACACAGCCTGACCTTGTGTCCAGCTAATTTTTATCTAAGTGATTGAATGAAGCTATATTGTAGAAAAATTAACATCTCAATCTATCCCAATGAGTTACAAGTTGCAGAATCCATTTACTCTTCCACAGCTTACCCTTGGTTTTATGAAAGCTCATTAGAGTTTTGCTGCCATTTGTAACAGATGCCTACCCACGTTTTTCAGAAATCAGGAAGGGGAGGAAAGAAATCTGACATAGAGGGATTCCAGCACAAACAACCCATGCGCTACTGCCTGAACCTGGGACTGCATCATTTCCCAGTGCTGTAACAGGACAGAAAATCCTCACTTTAAAGAAACTAAATTTTTGCTTCTAAAAGCTGCACTTACATTTCCTTGTTTGACAAGATGAGAGATCCTCCTTTTTTGGCCAGGAAACAAGGTAGTTAAATTATCTTCTGCCTTTTCTTCATTTCCTTCCTCTTTGGATAGCTGGAAAACAAAAGAATAAGCTTCCAAAACTGAATAGACTGGAAGATCCCTCTCAATTAAAAAGTCTGAAAAGTCTCCTTTCAAGTTAACAGAAAGTCCCTGCAGGTGAGAACAACACGTGGTCAGCTGCTGAATTACTAAAACAAACCTTGTTTTGAACCCAAGAGCCACCAATGAAGCCACCGAAGAGCAGCATTACAGTTCCCACCCAAGCAGTCGCTCCACGAGCTGTGCCCTAGGCAGCACTGGCATGATTCAGGACAGCCCCTACCCACCACGACAGACTTGAACACCCTCCTCCCGCAAGCTTTTCCACACACCTCCTTTCATAGCATTCTTAAAATCCAGGGGGTTTGGGTTTGGCGTGGGTTTTTTTCTAAGAACCTGGGAGCTGACTCATTTCTGCCCTTGTATAACATGCTGCCAGAGCAGGTCCTGAAAACCTGCTTGACACTAAACCACGGTGCCCCCACTCCACGTTTCCAGTTTTATCCACAACCATATCTGCAGAAAGGCCGCGGTGACAAATCCCCAGGTGACACATCTGTACGGCCAGAAACCCACAAGGAAATAACAGCACCTCTCCAGCTAAACCTACTTCTGAGCCAACATCTCAGACTTGCTCCCGTGGGCGGGGGGAACCACTTTAAAATCTTCTTTTGAATTGGACTCGGCTGTTTGTTTATACAAAACACACTTCACAAGTTTATTTTTCAAAACTAGCTGCTCTCCAGTCAATCTTGCTTTCAGTTTTCCAACACAGCCTCTGGCAAAGCGCTTAGCAGAGATGAGCCTGGCAGTCTCTTAGAAATTCAGCAACAGAGCTGAAGGCTAGATTTGGGGATGAGCTCAGCCTCCGCTCAGGCTGAGCTTGTGTTCGTCGCCACAAGGGCATTCTGGATGAGCTCTTCACACTGAATCACTTCACTCTCTAGGAACTCAGTAAATCTGTTAATTCAGTTACATCCCTAATAAACTCTCTCACAAAGCAAACCTTCCCGGTGGAAAAGTCCTGCACTGCCTGCAAGTACCTTCCCTCCAGACTAGAACATCACTGAGACCAAACGACAAGGGCCCCATCTACATTATCCACAAACAATTATCTCCAATTATCCACCTACAATTATTCCATAAACAAGAAAAAAAAACCCAACTCCCCGTGACCCATCCCACCCACCAGAAACACAGCGGGGAAGCAGGCACCTACTTACAAACACCCATCTCTCAAAGAAGAACCTTTCTGCTTGTTCCTCCCTTTCCAAAACGGGGGGAAATTCAATTTCAGTGCAGGGATATAAGGTAAAGCGCGTGCAAAGGAAACACACAGGGCTGCTGACAGCCGAACATTGCCACTCCATGCCAGAATTAACTGTTTGCAGTGAGTGGCAGCCCCTGGTTCAGCACTTTCTGAATTCAGCCCATTTTGAATCACCCCGTATTTGGAAAGCTCAAAACGGATTAGTATTTTCCCGCTACACACTGTGTGCCCTTATACTATTTTCACTTAAACCAAGCAATTTGAAGAAGCAAAGCCAAAAATAAAGCGCTGATTCCTAGCTGGGAATTACACTAAACACTGAAGAAAGAACAGGTGAATTTTAAACAAGCAAAATCAAGTAATGTTTAATAGTTCAGAAGAAAATCATTACACTCAACTGCTTTATATAGTTTCTTCTGCCAAGGCATTTCATGAGTGTAAAAAAAGGTCTTTGCTTGTCCGCAACACAGACTTCTCTCTGAACAGATCAGGGACATTATTGCAACAGAGAGTTCAGCAAAAAGCTTTAATAGTCCACCTATTCTTTTCAAAAATGGGCTCTCCTCCCCACGCTGCAGATCCCGGCTCACTTTGTCCTCCACACACAGATGGTCATGAATGGAAGAATTTTGTTGATGGCCACTTCACCCACCCAACTAAGAAAAGCCTGAAAACCAGCACCAATTTCTGAAGCTGTTTCAAAGTCAACAAACAATCGTACCAGGAGAAACGGTCTTTCCACCACGCAGTCGCATGGTTCCTGCTGCACTCATCCTGCCCCTCCTTCAGATCAATAATCATAGAATCATAGACTGGTTTGGGTTCAAAGGGACCTTAGACCTCACCCAGTGCCACCCCCTGCCCTGGGCAGGGACACCTCCCACCAGCCCAGGTTGCTCCAAGCCCCGTCCAACCTGGCCTTGAACACCTCCAGGGATGGGGCAGCCACAGCTTCTCGGGGCAACCTGCCCCAGGGGCTCACCACCCGCACAGGCAACAATTCTTCCTAATACCTAATCTAAATCTCCCCTCTTCCAGTTGAAAGCCATTCCCCCTCGTTTTATCACTACATGCCCTCGTAAAAAGTCCCTCCCCAAATACAATAATCCCAAAGGGGGTCTTGCTGTGTTCAAAGGGGTCTAAACTGGAACACACTGGAAGCCCTGATGGCGTCCCAGTACCTCCACTATCTTTTGTATGCAGAATAGCTGCAGCTGACACCACTCAGTAATTCCTTGAATAGACACACTCGACCTTTGGTGCCGCCAGTCCCCCAGCACACAGAGGGCACCCGATTTTGCCGCTATGCCTCTCAGGTAATACAGCTGATTCAGCAATGCCGGTACATCCACACTGCAGTCAGATGTGCCAGACAGGTAATACAAGGTTGGGATGTTTTCTCAACATTGCCAAATTTATCGTCTTTTTCTTTTTTAAAGCTCTTTCCAATCCAACTCCCTGAACCCCTGCTCTGTACACAAGCAAAATCATCCCACCCAGAAAACCCAGGCGTGCTGGGTGGGACAGCAAGTCAAACAATCCTGCCCGTGCACGGGCAGCCGCTCCTGGGATCGAGGGTTTGCTCTCGCTGCCCAGTTGAACACAGATGTCGGAAGATGAAGGACAAGTTTTGTCTGCTCCTACTTCCCTGCCTCAGAGGCTGTTAGAGGATCGCTGCCAGCAGCAGCTTTCCAGCCTTTTACACTGGCTCCGTTCTGTTTCAGTCTTTGAAAAGGAGGGTCTTGCGTCCTCGGGGACCACTGCACAGTCCCCGGCAGAAGGCTTTTTATGTAAATGCTGTCTTTTTACCTCCTTATTCTGAAACACCTTGTACCTTTTGAAGAAATTTTACCCTCTGTTTCTTATTTGTGCCACCTATAAGGTACCAGAGATCCTCATAAAATACCTGCTGTATGCATTTAAAATGGGAAACAGTAATTTGGGGAGTCTCCGAAGAGTCCAGTGCCAACTACATCGACTTGCACCAACACATTGTCCTCGTTCTACCTGCCACTATGTTCCTTAAACTATGCTGCAATAAGATGGCATTGCCCAGATTAGCAAAGTCGGATTAGCTTTGAAGCACCCACAACAAACTCTCCGAAGCCTTTTCTCCAGCCACCCAGGCCACCGTGGTTCTTAGGCCAGATGGAGACTGAAGTCACTGCTAACCCTGAAAGCTAAAGGCATTCCACACAAAAGGCAATTGAATCCTTACATTTCACAGCAGCTTTCAATTCAGCAGGTAAATTCAGGCGCAAACTCTTCAAAGCACTCAGGCATGACAAGGATGAGATTCTTCCAACATGGAGTCTCCCTCCATAGCCCTCTTCAGCTACTTAAAATAAGCAACACCACTAAACTAAACCAGAATCCTTTCACATTTAGACGTGCGAGAATCAACCAACCGAACCAGCATTACCTGTTTCCTCAGCCTTCCCTTGTCTTCAGTTTTCACATCTGTAGATTCATTAAAAATCCTGAGACACTCTTCCATTGGATCTGACTCAAAGTCCAAGTCTTTCTCAAGGATGGAATAATCAATGTCATCAGATGTTGAGGAAGACGACGATGACTTTGACAACTTCGAGCGCTTCACTTTCTTTCTCCCTTCATTTTCACTCTCAGAATCTGAATCACAGTCATCGCCATCCGAGTCCGAGCTCACGTCAAGTAACGCAGACGGCAAAGGCCGGCCTTTGTCATCATCGTCCCCACTCTCATCACCGAACAGGTCAACGTGACTCAAACTCCGTTGCTTCCGACCCTTCTTTGGATCTCCTTTGTCTGTAGAACCGACTTTTTCTTTCTTTCGCTCCAGTGCTGGAGTCTTGGTCCCTTTCTCTTTGTTTTTATGACCAGAGCTTTCCTTACCATTTTTCAAGTCAGCTGCTTTCAGTTTGGAGTCCTTCTTGCTGCTCCCCAGCTTCTCCGTACTAGAGCCTTTGATGACAACCTCGCTCTTGCTTTTCCCTGAACTACTGCTGGCGGACTTGGACTTTTCTTTCTTATGGCCATCTACTTTTTCTGACTTCTGTTTTTCAGTTTTCTTTACATTCCCATCAGTTTTTACTTTGACATTTTTATCTTTACAGTTTTTCTCTTCATTCTTAGTTTTTAATTTTTCTTCTTTCTTGAGCACTTTGTCTTTTTCTGTATTTTTACTTTTCTCCTTCTTGCCAACCTCACTGAGGCCAGGTGTTTTACTAACATCTGACTTCTTCCTTTTTGTTTTGTCTTTTGAGTCTTTGTTTTTATTTTCAATTTCTTGGTCGTTCTTACCAGAACACAATTTTGCTGCTTTCGCATTCTTGTCTGATAAGTTTTTGGCAAGATTTTTCTGTGAACTTGGAAGGTCCTCCATGCCATAATGTGCTGCTGCTTCTTTGCTATCCTGGGAAGCAAAGTCATCCAGTTTGGTGCTCTGCTCTTTGTTGGATAACCCGTCATTTGATTCACTTTCAGAACCAGCTTTTGATTGTGAACTAACAGAAGTTGGCTTATATTCCGCATCAGCCTCATCTTCAGAGGAGGAGAACCTGGCATACACTTCATAGTCATCGGGTACTTCACAGAGCTTCTTTCGCGATGGAGAATAAGATTCCTCATAACTAGACACCCTACCTCTTTTGGACCCCTTTGGCTCCTTTGCTGTGGCTTTGCCCAAAAGCCTGGCTGAGTAATTTGAAAGCGGGTCATATTCCAAGTCTGTAGAAGGCTTAGAGTCATCAATCACATATTTATTGTTAGTGACGGTGCTACTGTATTTTTTATTCTGTGCTATAGCCTTGGGAACATATTCCAGTGAGCTACCTTTAGATCGGGAAGTATCCAAAGTGTATTTACTTGACCGGCTAGCAGCAGCGAGAGGAGTAGGGTTGTAGTCCGAGTTATTATTAAAGTTGTAGCTACCTGGATTATATTCTAAGGAGGTAAATGAATCATTTTGTGTCCCAGCAGCTGACACGGGTGTATTCGAAACAAGCGAGGAGGTCTCTGAAGCGCTAAACTCCTTTGTCGTTTCAAGCAGCTCCTCATACTTTTTCTGCTCTCTCTCAACTTCGTTTTTGACCGCCTCGATGGCCTTGTTGACCAGCTCCAGCTCCAGAATACCAGGTGTCACATCTGTAATGTCAGCCAGACCGCCATCCTCCGCCTCCAGCGAGGGCCTTGGAAGCTCTGGATTGTAGGGATCATAGCCCCGCTCTGTAAAAGAGAAGGAAAAAATAATTTATTGCCAGCAATTTACGTAAAATTTTCTTTGGAGAAAATTTTTTAAAAAGGTCTTTTTAAAGTCTGCTCTCATCAAAACCCAATACTGAAAGACACTACCGAAAGCCATGTTCTCAGCACCACAGAATAGACTTCTGATACCGAAAGCCACCAGTGACATTCTCTGGCAGGTGTGTGGCTAGACTAGATTTTATAAACTACTCACGGGCCTTAAGGACTAAAGATCTATTAACAAAGTGCTTTTATTACTCATGGAAAAGCTCTATAAATTAAGTATTCTTCAGGGCACTAAAGAATAATCACTGTATTAGGACCAAGAGGAGCTGAGTACGTGGAGAATTATCTGCTTAATTCAATAAAGTGAGCAAGGGAAGAAAGAGGATTCCAGTATGAAAACTGTGGATTAGGTTCTCATTTATCGATGCCAATGCCTAAAGCCTGCTAAAAGCCTCCAATATTCCTCACAGCCCAGTATTTCTCCTGGAAGCTAAAGGAAAATCAGTCTTGTTTGGACTGACAAACGGAGTGCTGCTATTAAGAAAAAACTACAGGTCCAAAGGCAACACAACCCAACCGCACAGAACAACCACCAAGACAGGAACATTAAACACCCAGATCTCCAATCTGACGTTTCTCTTTTCAGACAAGTCCCTTCGGTGGCATCTCTTACACAGGACTGCGAACAGAGGATACGCTTTGACTACACCGCACGGCTCCTCCGACCACAGCTCCACGGGACAGATTTTGATGAGTGATGGTCCACCTTATGGAACTGTATGGAAACACCAGAGCAACCTGTCCAAGGGAAAACTGACAACTAAAGCTCACCATGTAACGGTCATCTTGAAAAGGACACGGGAGCAGTTGTCACAAGCATAAACACTCTCCACTTTTTGCCATGGTATCCCAAACTCTCCCACCTACCTTTGCAACTCATGGTGAAACAGAAGGGAAAAGGACATCATTCATGCACATGTGCTGAACGACAGGCACCCTGCTCGCCAAAGAACAGGCAGGGAAAGAACTTCACTTTGGAAAACTAGAATAGAATGGAAGAACCCAGCAATAAAGACAACTGCATTTAGCAAGCTAACAGAAGCCACAAGTATGTTAACGACTGTTTTTTCACTTTGAACAGTTTTCAGTCCTTGTTTTATCATAGTGTCTCTGGATGCTGCCATTCCAGAGGAACGTTTTGTTCGTGGCTGCAAGGACAGTAGTAAAACTGGCTTTCCAACATGAATATGTAGAAGAACAAAACAGTAAGCAGAGATAAAAGATTGAAAGAAAAAAAACCAACACCAAACCAAACTCTCAGGTCTAACAGGGATCACATATATGTAACAGCCAGAAACGAATAGTATTTACAGGAGTCATTTCTACCATTCTCACAAGACTGAGTCTTCTCTTGGTTGTTTTTTTTTGTTGTTGTTGATTTTCTTGGGGGGTGGGGGGGCTGGGGGGGGGGGGTGGTTTTTTTTTTTTTTTTTTTTTTTTTTCCTTTTGAGAGGATCTGTGAATGCACAGCTCCCTTAGGTAATAAGAAAAGAACCTGTCTAGCAGTCAGCAGAACTAGCCTCCAAGCAAGCAGAATAATAGAGAGATTGGGTTAAAATAAAGGCAGTGATTTCATAAAACAGCTTTTACCCCCTTGGGTCTGCAAAGTTTTTTCCAAACCAATTAACTCCTGATTGAGCAGGGACTCTGGGCAATCGCGGCATGATGTCACCATCTTCCAAAGGACAGTCAGAACTGTACTCAGGACCAGAAATGTGGGAAAAAGGAATGAGGCGATATATTTCTGTAACTAGCTCCCCCTCCACCTATTGCAAAAGTGCTTTACATCCACCACACAAAGAGCATTTCCAGAATTAGTGTCTGCTCTTCCCCATTAAGACGCCCAGCACAGCTCACACCCTGAGGGAGAGAGGGAGGGAGAAGGTGGCAAACCAGAGCATCTCAGCAGATGGTGTACACTGGACAGACTGGTATCCAGAGTCTAGTTAGAAAAAGAAACCACATAGAAACGCAGGTAACATGGAAAAAACAGGAACAAACCTAGATGCAAACAGCAGCATCATCAAGGCTAGGATACATACACAGATTAAGAAAATACTTAGGTATAAATTAGCCTAACAACTGATAAAGAACAGAGAGCCCTCCATACCCACCACCTCCTTTCTCACCACTTTGCAAAACATCGAGTCCATAATGGTAGAGAAGACCACTGCAGTGAAGTCTGGAGGAGTCAGCTATTACCCTCTAACTCAAGTTGGAGAGCTAAAATTTAGCCCAAGCGTTGTTAGGGGAACAGCTGAAAGCTTGATAGTTCATGCAGAGATAAGTATTAGGTGGCCTATAAACAAACAGAGGCAAGAACACAGTCTGAAACTAAAGACCTGCCAAAATAAAAATAAAACCAAAACCACTACCAATACCAGGAATAAAAACCCACCCAAATTACACAAAAAACACCTTGTCCATGCAGAAAAGCAAACTATTTTAAATATATTAGGATACAGGGAAAGTAGAAGGCAACCTAAGCACAGACCTGGTGTCTGATTCTCTGCTGTTCATCTACAGTATAAAACTAATTGGCACATTTTCTTTCAATGGAATGACCAGATGTAAAAATAAATTATAATCTCTGAGAATGCCAGCAGGCTTTGAGATATTGGCATGAAAGAGCTCTTCTGTAGGTGTGTAGGAGTCCTGATGGATTACCCAAGCGACGCTGATCAAAGGCTCCCTTTTCCATGAAAGACACCTGTGTAAGTGGATTCCGCGATACTAACAAGGACTGTCACCTTTGGCCACCACGCATTTGCAGATAATGTAGTGGAAACACCACCAGAAGGGGATTTTATATATGTCTACACATGCACACATACACACACCTGGTGTGAGCAGACACAGGCAGGACGCCGGAACAACCACAAAACCACAGATGAAATGCAAAGGGTAAATTTAATTTCGATACCTCGCGAACTGGTGGATCTCCGAAGCGGTAGCGGAGCAGAGGCATGCAAGCGGGAACGCAGGCACCGCAGAGCGAGAACGTCCTTGCTAGGGAGATTTTCCTCGCTAGTGAGCAAGAGAGTCCCAACCTGCTGTTCTCGCCTGTATTTCAGGGATTCAAGCAGACGTAGTTGTCCAGTGTGCTTTGATCTCTCCGACAGCAGGGCAGGAATCTCAGGCACGTTCGATAAGGTACCTCCGAGTCCATCACAGGCCTACGTTATCTAAGCACAGATGTTCTACTTGTCAAGCACATGAGACTAAACAACGATTAGTGTGATATCTATGTTTTCCAACACCCCAGGTGTGAGTCACTTGAGTGTGTTTACAATCCTCCTCACCAATCTTCAGTTACTTTCCCACACGCACATATATACACACCCCCCCCAGAGTCAAAGATATTAAATATATCTGAAATCAGGCCACCTTTTCAGATGCCTATTTATACCCCTAGGAACCCAGGAGAGGAAAGGGTCTCTGGGATGTCTGAGCCCAGTCTCAGGCAGGCAGGCACCCAGCTACAACCACACACCCCTTCTTACGACCTGCACATAAGATTCAAAGGAGTCGTCTTCAGCTTTTGCATGTATTCCTCTCCATTTCAAACACTAACGTGAATACCCACAGCATAAAGAAAGATCACTACAAGATGAACTATGCTGGTTTTGCTATTCTGGTATACAAGACGTCTGCGGTATTTCAGCTGAAGCAAACTGCGCGAGAGAGCACCACGTAGTGAAATAATTCTTTTTGGATGGCTGTAAAATTGAGAGTCTACACTGTCCTTTGAGAATCACGAGATAATGAGACTTGAGATGACAACTCCTCATAGGATTGTGAACTAAACTGCTATCAGGACACTCTTTAAAATACAAACTATTTTAATAAATTAATGTACCTCAGATATATGAAATAGTCCTTCTGAGACACAAAAAGGTGAAGTTAACATCAACACTATACAAAACAAGGTATTAATAATTTACATAGGACCTCGGGGAACAATTTGTTTAACCTAGAACTACTTTAGAATACACCAAAATGAACTGCACTTAAATCAGCCATTTTGGCACAGAGTATATAGAAGCGCAAAAAAAGATTCTTCAAAAAAACCCAAGGCTGATTGTTTTTTTCCTGGTTACAGTCATGCTGGTTCTAGGAAACGAGGCCTCAGTTTTGAGGTGGAGCTGTTTTATTACAGAGCTTCTACAAGCTAGCGACTCCTTGCTGTACACTGGTCCTTCTAGTTTGTGCAACAGGCAAAGGCAGTAAACAAAGCCTGACATTAAATGAATAATGGGAGCACAAGGTCACCTGTTTGATGTCAAAACTTATTTTACAGTGAATCATTCTGCAGAAAAATATGTCCTTTCTTTTTTTTTTTTTTTTTCCCAAACACCCTACCAGAACACATACTTTAGATGCTTTAAATACAGAAAAGCCCAAACGTATGACAGGTACTGGTTGTTGTCAACCTGCAGGTTTTGGAAGAGGAGTCAAGCACTTGCACACATGTGGGACACGGACGACAACTACCTGCCTTCCAGATATAACGCTGAGTTGCTAAGCAGCAGCAGCTGCTGCTAAACAAAAAGCAGGCAAAAATTAGAAACTTCCAAATTTACTGCAATTAGGATCTCAGAAGGGAAGGGTTTGCTGGGCAAGCTGCAGAGGGACCAGCACCAGCCAAAAGACAGCAAACATTTTCAAGACCCGCCGCTGCTGAAGTCACCCATTTTCCCGGCTCACCTGGAGCTGGCAACAAAAGGTGCATTCCTTGGGAGATGGGGAAGGTGAGAGCTGTTGAGAGACCTCTTTGTAGAGGGGTGGGGGGAAGGCATTTTTATTTTAACGTCATCAGAACAGCTTTGTTAGCTTAACAGCTTGCCTGTGTTTACAGTGCCAGTACTTAGCAAATGGACAACCTTTGCGATTACAGAAAAATTATCACCACTGGAAAATTATTTTAAGCTTTTCTTTTAATGCCTCACAGAAGATACAGTGGTTCTCAAGAACAGAATGTTTCCAAAAGGCTTCACCAGCAGCTGAGTTTTCCTACTCTTCAGAATTAAAAGCGCAAAAGAAATGACAGTTTTTGGTGCAGACCTCATTTGCGAATACCCAAAGAAAATTTCCAACAATTAATTTAACAATAATATCCAACCACTTGGAAATAATTAACACTGAGATTTAAAATAGTACATTTCAAATAATTATCCAGAGTAAATGGGTTAGGAGGGCAGGTAAGAGGAGCTAAAAGAAATGTTTCTTCAACTTTAAATATATCCCTAGTCCTAATCATTATTTTTACTCTTTCTTTTGCTTTTTAAATTGTAAATTTAATTATTAAAATTAAGTATTAAAAGCATAGAGAACCTTATGCTGGTCTAAGAACATCAGGGAAGCAAGGTTTGAGGGTATTACATCCAGTACAATCCAAGCTGGCCTCCCTCTACGCACTTGGATTTGTTATTCCACGAGAGGTATTTGATGCCACAGTGTCAAAGTACATCATGAACCAACACGGTCATTTCTTTAGTGGAAAAAAGGAAGCAAATATGAGAAAAGAGAGTCTTATATTAGCAAGGCTGAAAAAAGTTTGAACAGTCATCCATCACCCTGTGGTATTTTTAAACCTGCTGTGACAAAGTCTGCTTAAGTTCAGAGTACAGTTTCACCAGATGTTCTCAGCCAACGCAAGTGCTCAGTGCCACTGAAGGACTATCTCCGTGGGCTGAAAGGCTTGACCAGGGGGCTCACAACCAGAATAAGGAGGGGTGGATCACACTGAGGGACAAGAGCGGCCAGACATCATCCTCGTACAAGCCATAAGCCGTTTTCTCAGGTCAGCTGCCCAAGACTGCTGACACACTGTGGCCGGAGAGGAGACACGGACCTGCCCGAGTGGGTTCAATCCAGCAAGGGAACAGCTCCAACACCGTCTGTGTCATTCCCGAGCAGGCAGCGGTATCAGGGAACGACTCACTCTGGTAGGAAACTCACTTTGAGCAGAGGATGTTAGGGGAACACCCCTCAAAGCAGCTCATAAAGCAACGTCCAGGGAAACAGTACACAGCTCATTTAATTCAAGAAAACAAAACTTGTGGAGTTTTGCCTCTGGCACAGCAGCAGAGGTACCTAAAAGGTCCCCAAGCCTACTAAATATGGTAGCTAAACCCTCTTGATAGCCTCACACACAGTCCTGGAGGGCAGCTGGGACCACCACTGCTTCACACAGCAACACTAGTTAAAACCGAGGATGCAAAAGCCAGAACAAGATGGTCTGGCCCATGCAAAAGACACCATTTACATCCCTCTATTGCCACAGTGATTTACAGCCCCATCCGCTCCGGTGCTAAAAGAACAGCAGTCAGCGAAGAGCATCAGAGGCTGTCAAGATCTGTGATAAATGTAATGTTTTCCTAAGGGGAAATCACACCATCGGTACATTTCTCCCATAACCTAGGAAGGGACGCGAGAAACATAACTGATGTATTTGCCAGAAGAAGGGCAGAAAGCAAAGGCTGGCACCCCAAATATCACGATTGCTCCCCAGGCTGCTACCCCGACCCCACAGCCTGTCATCACGCTGGCTACAAGGTGTCTCACCATTTTAAAAATCGATGATACATTATTCTGGATATTCAATGTTTGGATTCTTTGGAGATCTTTCCATTCCCTCTCTCATTTTAGCTTTAAAGTTATTCCTCAATATACAAGAAAAGTTGAAATTCTGTTTGGAAAAAAGAAAAAAATTAATGGAGACTTATTTTTTTCTGTTTCCGAGAAAAAGACAGACCAGAAGATATTTCCACATCTCCTGCGTAAGTGCTACATAAAGCTAAGGACCTACTGCAAAACTTAAGTAGTAGAGCACATCTTCTTTTCAAAGAAGCAGAAAAAAAAAAGAAATAAAAAAAAAGAAATACTTCAAGTATTCCAGTGTCTTTTTTTCCTCTCTATTCAACTCTGTCTTGAAAACTTACTTTGACAGCATGGTCACAAGCAGTAACACTACTCCTCACCCACCAGTCCCTTAATTTTCCAGCCTTTCTCTGGCGTGCTCAAGATAAGTTATCTTCTCAACACTTGTCTTATTTCTTTAACTATTTCAGGTGAAAAACTCCCATTTAAGAAAAAAAAAAAAAAAGAAAAAACCAACAGTATTTCAAATACAGGCACAACTGGACACTTTGAAAAACAAAGTCAAAAACTAAAGAAAAACACCTTTCAAGCTATATTACATTGAAAAACTTCAGCTGTGACTTACAAGGGACTAAAACCAAAACTCAAAAGTGGTTTTAAAACCTGTCCGGCTTTAGTTAACTCAAAAGCTGGAATTAATACTATGCAGCTCCTTTACTACTCAGACACCTGCAGCTCCACAGACTCTTTTAACCAGCGAACCCAACACACTCCCCAGTTCTCGGCACAGATCTTCTCTTTAATAAAAAGGCTGAACCTCACAGAGAAATGAAAATCCTTGTGCAACTAAACCCTCCAAAGAGGAGCTGAGGGTTTGTATTTTTTTGCATAGTCCATATATTTCAGAGGCAGATGCAGCCCTGAGGACCAAAGCCTCACATTAAATGAACAGCTAACACGTGAAAGCCTCTCTCAAGAAGGCACTTCTCTCGCAGCTGCTTCTTCACGTACTGCAACCCACACAAAAACACAACTTCACTCCACAGTTAAGTCAAAAACTTCAAAGAATTACCTGAGCTCCCCGCGGTTAATAAATATTGCAGATATTTGTTCATGCTGTACTTGAGGCTTTTAATATCTACTTGGTACTGCTAAGACACGCCGGCAAAAGCTTATGGCACAATACCGCTGACCATGTGCTGACACAGCACTTTCTGGGCTGCAGAGATAATTAGGGCAGGACTTACCAACCCAAAGTCCCGCCTTCACCCTCATTTACTCCTGAGTCAGATTGGGTTTTACTCGAGTGTCTGCAGGGGCTTTTTGACTGATTTCTTCTTTCCTAGCGCTACTACGATCACCTTGGGGAATTTTTTGACATCGTACTTTCCCCAACTGTACACGATGCTTTTTACTTGATTTGAGCAACCAAGTTGGTAAGCGCAGCAGGTTCCCAAACGGTGGGTGATCCCCAGCATTGTGCTAAGAGGTCCCCCTGTCCCGCCGGGACCCTCCCTGCCCCCAGCAGCACAATCCCCAGCCAGAGCCCAAGGCCACCCCACTTCTCCAGCCCCGCAGCCCACGCTCGGTCCCAGCAGGGCGGGAGGCTGCAGGCAGGGCAGGGAGACGGCCTGGCCCTGCCTGTTGGTGCCGACCTGCCACCTCTCCGCTATTACATGAGCCAACACGCAGCCCCGGCGCCTCCGACCCACCTCGCCCAGCACAGGGCAGCCCAGGGAAAAGCACTTTGGGAAAACCCAGGACTAGTGAATTGTGCTTTCCGCTCCTCCAGCACTATCGCAGCACCGCAGTGTTCAACTAGAGGAGGAAAAAGATAAAATATCAGAGTAAGGCAAGATATTCTACACTGGAGAGAGAAATCCTGTAAGAGCAGACAAAGGGCTCCTGGGGCGGGTGGAGAGGAGCCCCGGCAAACAAACGCTGGCACAACACTAGTGCTTTCGACACCCAGACAGGTCGCTGCACCTTTAGCCTTTAAAATCCTTCCGGCTTGACGGAGATTTGATCCCACCTCCTGCTCTTCATGTGTTTAACTGGAGTGAGGATGAGCCGCGTGCAAGCTCAGGGCCGAGTCTCCCCACAGCCACACTACCACTTGCAGAAAGACCAAAAAAGAGAAGTGCCCTGCCTGCCCTGCCAGCCCACACTGAAATCCCGACACATAAAGCAGCTGCACCTGCCCACCCACAGGAAAACTGCCATAACTGACAGTTTACTTCAACGACAAGAACTCCCTAACCGCTGGAAAGCCATGATTTACAAGAGAAGACACATCCTGACCTTACCGTCAAGTGGGTTTTCTATTCTTCATTTCAAAACTCAGTTAAAAAAAAACATCCACCGCTGACATTTTGGTAATTACTGGGGGGAAGCAGTCTTAGCAATGTGCTCCTCCCCCCACCCAGTTAATGGACTAGAGCACCCAACACCGAAGCACCCAATTTCTTCTCTCGGTGAAGAAATACCAAAGGCAGTTCATAAGTTTCCATTTCTCCTCATTCAATTTCCCTGTAGCAAATACAATAATAAAAGTTCTTTCCTACAAGAAGCTGATCTTGCACATCAACTACAGGAAGGAAAACGCAACTGTTAAAGACTCTTTTTCATCCATTCTACACACGGCATGAACGCATGCTGCAATTTAAGTAATACAAATGCAATCCCAGACAGTGCAGAGAGGCTGCTCCCACCAAACACGGCTGAATTTAACACACAGCCTCTTGGCAACGTGCTGCATGAGGAACCTGACCGGTGAAGACAATGCCCTCGATCCTACGGTGACGCATGGGCTGAGGATGATTAAAGCTGGGTTTTAACATTTAAAGAGCCACTTTAGGTTTTACCAAGTATCACTTTGCACAGCGTTTTATATACAAGTCACAGCATCCCACGTAGCTGCTCTTTGGCTTTGAAGAAGGGAGAAGTGAAGTGCCATCCTGCAGCAGTGACAGGATCAACAGAGTTAAAGCTGGGGAGATAAGCCCACGGATTTCTCCACACCTGACCTGGGCAAACAGGAGCCAGTGTTCCAGCAGCTTACTTGTGGGCTGAGTACCATAAATCAAAGAGAGGTGAAAATCCATCGCTGGATGGTACCACACAAACCCATCCCGTCACCTTTCAAAGATACAATCTAGATCAAATCTGCAAAGCCCTGCCCGTCCAAATAGAAAATCCATACAGCAAGAAAACCGCTCCACAAGCTTTGGACCAGACAAGAAAACTGCCGAGCAATTGCCAGTACGCATTGCTCTAGAATAAAGTATTTCAAGGCAGGGTGCTAAAAGCCTTGCTCTTCCCATTTCCCATTTCACGCTAACACAAGGATCAGAGCAGACAAAAAAGAACTCAGGCCTCCAGACCCAGACGTAGCTTTCTGCTCTGGGTTCAAAAAACATCCACCTCTTAAACATCTCCTGACAGCTACTATCAAACTCAGCAAACCAAAGAGCTGGTTTCCTTAAGATATTTATGAAGAGATGTATTACTCTTCTTTTATGTCTTTCAGCATACTCAGGACCTAGACTTTAAAGAGAGACCTATTTTTCTCCTCTACAGCTCTTGAAGAGATGCTTTTAGGACTGAAGGCAGTTCTTCCCTACTCACACAGCACGCTTTCAAAGCACTTCACGCGCATTCAATAATCTTTTCATCCTGCTCTGAAGCAGGTGGGTTTTAGTCATTTTGTAGATGGAAAAAGCACTTCAGCCAAGTCAGGATTAGAATTTTCAAACTCCAGATCCCTCCTCCTGCACAGGCTCACATCCCACTTCTCAGCCCACCAACAGCACTGTGGAAATACCACAACGGTCAGTGCATGCTACCGCCCCAGCACCTTCCCCAGCTTTCAGCCAGCACTGGATTTCCGCAAGCCTCCAGGTAGCCACACTCTTTTACCAGGCAGGCAGATACTTGCAGTAAAGACACTGGAACAGATTTCCCACGTGAAGTATAACACATTTCAGAACCCAGATCAAACGTGCCCTACAGACCCGTTGCATCACGCCAATTCCCTCCTCACCCGAGAAGTTTGTATTTTCTAAGCTGCTTTCAAAGGGGAAGAGAAAGGAACGCCTGCCACGTGCAAACAGCAGCAGATGGGGGAAAACTCAGCCCTCCTGCTGCTGGTCCCCTGACAGGCACAGAGGCCTCTTCCCCACTGTCTCCCAGTGGTTGAGACCATGAGAGAACCGTATGAACAATAAGAATAATCTATTTACAAGCATCTGAACACTACGCTCCACAGGAAGTATGGAACTGCAAGGGGGGTAAAGGAAAGGGGAACAGTGCTATGTCCCACAAATTCCTCTTTTCACCTCCTCGCTGCTCCATCTGGCACATGTCCACAGCCTCCTCCCACCATGGCCTGGCAAGGCCAGCTCCACCCCTAAGTTTTCAACTACTTTCAAGGCTACAGAAGATCTGCTAGGAGTTGTGAGGTTACTGCCAGTCCTTCGGTGATCCAAAAACATTAAAGTCAACGTCAGCCTTGAATCAATATGTTTGGCAGGCTGATTCTTTAGATGCTGTCCTTTTTTCTAGGCACTATCCCAGAAAACACCGATCTTGTAGCTCTTGGTATAGGTACCCACCTTCTTTGGCAAAAAAAAAAAAAAAAAAAAAAGCTTTTAAAGCTTATTTATTGAGTGACGTGATTAAATAGGACAAATATGCCCCAGCGCACTGTTATAAGGCTACTTTAAAACAAGACAGGCAGTTTCACTGACAGGGAGCAACTTATGTTGGACTTGCTTTAAGAGGGTGGTTGCCTGGTTGCTAGCTAAACTACTACACCCTCTAGTGTAAACCTTAAATACATCCTTCCAAGCTAGGCAAGCTTCAGACAGACAGAGGAAAAGACAGGAAGACTTCAACCTGAACCCTTCAGATGAAGCTGAGCCACAGCACTGCTTAAAAAATAACTGCAAAAGCGTCTTTCACTCCCATGGAAATCAGGCACCTTACACAAGCCTGATGAAGCCCTTTCTAAAAGACAGCGTTTTACCACAGATTCATCACTCATTTTCCATTTCTCAATTGAAATCAACGTAGAAAAAATGGTTGAAGCCCAACACTAAGCTGAGGGAGAATTTACAGATCCTTGGTTATGTCAGCCATGCCACGAGTTAGATGCCAAGAGTTTTGGGAAAGAGGGCAGGAGCAGGCGCTACGCCGGCTGGCGGCGGTGGGCTGGAAGTTAAGCCTTGGGATCCTGCGTCTTTTACAAGCAGCAGACACTTCACCTAGGAAAACTAGACCTGTGCTGATAGCTTTTGTTTCACAAAAGCCAGAGCTTCTTGAAGAGCCATAATACAGTAAGTAAATTGCTCTCACTCCCCAAAACACAAGCTTTCTCTCCTGGGTCGCTAACACATCCAAGCCAAGACTAACAACATTAGCACTGGGATCATTTCTATTTTTCGTCATTCACACTCAGCTCTTACATTAACGCTTTTCAGCCAGTATTAGAAGCTGCACACACTTTCCAGGTGCACCAGGAGATTTCACTAAAGACCAACCTCCACTTCCCCATTTTGAAAATCAAAACCAGCACCAGCATTTATTTAGGACAGCAGAATCTGTTTCAGGTGGCAGACCAAAATGAGCAAGTCTAGTTCCAAAACTGACACCCTACAGATATTTAAAGACAAACAGGAATTGTACACTGAAAGATAACTATAATATCAAGCATCTGGAGGACTACCCTAAAGGGTTCTAGGGAGCTTTTCAAATTCAAAACAACACTGAAAGAGGCAAAAACTTTTGTCTTTCTAATATGGTATCTGTCTGCCTGTGACAGCCCTGAGTACGGTTCCTTTATTTTAAACTAAACCACAGTCGTGGTAAGTTGACCTGGTAACCAAGAGGCATGAAAAATTAATCATCTTCCAAACTTGTGAATAACCCAAAGTTAAGCAAGCACAGAAAAAAACCAACAAGTTGTGCTTTATTTTGACAACTTCTGCTTCAGATTGTTAGAGACCATACATACTAGCAAGTATACCTAACTGAAACAACAAAGCTTTAACAAAAAGCAAGCAAGTGGCATTTTACTAGGGAGAAGAATGAATGCTTTTCTCTCCAAATAAAATAA